GGTTGGAGGAAGTCTGCAGTTGTTGCTAAAAATGCCACGGGGCTCTGAGTCATGTGGAGCCGCCACTCCAATGGGCTCCCCCCAGCCACCACTCCACCCTGTGGAGGTCCCACCCTATGGAGGTCACCGCGCCCATGGCCGGGAGCTTCGTGGGGCTCCTGAAATGCCACTGCTCTGCATGGCAGGCTGCTGCCAGCCCTGGAAACCTGCCATGAGGAAAGCATCCTGTGTAGACAGGGCTCCTTCTCCTCAGGGCAGCTGCAGACCATGCAGCCACCTTGGCTGTGGCCCTCCTTAAAGGGTCTCGGTCACACTACTATTTCAGACCTTCCATTTTGTGATGATTTACACATAATGACTTCAGAACTGGTGCACCTTTTAGACACTAATGCAATTTAAGTGTTAGGTTTACTGTGTGTTTTGGAGACTCTTCTACTTTAAAGACTGGTGTCACCTATCAGTAAAAAGGCAGAGCCTGGGAAAGTTAATCAGAGTTTACAACACGTTCTCTTTTCCAAAGATGCATAGTATACCCTGAAAGTTCATTTGTCCATCTATATAGAAAATACAGAGATACACCAGGCCTTACAGCATTGTATAAATGCTAAAAAATCAGCTATAAATGTGAAAAGAACAAGTATCAAATAGTCATTTTTCAGGTAGTGAATTCACATAGCTCTGAAATTATCCTGCTGTCCCTATGGTGCATCAACTTTTTCCTTTATGATACTCATTCACAGCAGCTGATTTTTTTTTCATCTTGAATTTTAGGGGCCTGTGTGGGACATCTAAGGGAAAAATAGCTACATACCCCTATTTCTGATCCCATTTCTGTTCTCCCAGCACACTGTGCACCACTCTTGTATGAAGACGTTTCAGCTTTGTGTCCTGTAAGTGTTGAAAGGTATTAATTGACAGAATGCCTTGCAGCCATTATATTCAAATTATTTAAAACAGAAATGCACAGTTTGATATTTATATGTATTTATATTTAAACATTTGCAGAAGGCAAGACTGAAGCAACTGTGACCCCAGCAATGAGGAGAGGTAAAACCAGTATCGGGGTAGAAATCAGTATTCAAGCACTGGTTCAAGCTTACCTCTGTTGACCAAAGGCAAAACAAACAAACAAACATATAAATAATTTTTTTTAAAAAAGCTTATTTTCTTCAGAGTGGCGGTTTCAGTAAAGTTGCCTTTTTTTTTTTTTTAGCGTGCTCTTAAACAAACGCACTTTTGAACACTGGCCTGGCCCCCGGGCAGTCTTCTCCCCCGTTTCCTCCCTCCCCTGACACCGCCGCCCCGCGCCCGCCGGGGCCATTTTCTCCCTCGGGGCCAG